GGGGAATTCTGGGAGTTGAAGTCCACATATCTTAAAGTTGCCAAGGTTGAGGAACCCTGGGCTGGAGAAAACTAAGGCTGCATTTCTTACCTCACCATCTGAACAGCCACAAGCCACAAGAGGTTGTATCATGTATGTGAAAGTCAATTTGGGTCTACGGATCCCTGCCTTCCCCACTAACCTCTTTCCCATCCTTTGCCACCACAAAAAAGGGATTGGTTCCATCAGACACTGTAAAAGTGAAACGGTCTTCTAAAAAATTGCTTCCATCATGATTGTAACTGATTCTGTTCTGGAATATATCCTCCATGGTGAAGGCATGGGTCTGTTGGTAACGATGCCCGTCATTGGTGAGCTCAATCTGGCCATGACGTGGGGGCTGCACAATGCTAAAGGTAACAGACTTGGCCTGCATACAGAACAAAATGTGTGAAGAGCAACAAGAGTTCACATCACATTGTAAAGGTTAGTTCACAGACTGATAAAGATTCAGGAGATGGTAAACCGGCAGCTGTAAGGTTCTCCACTGTCTCCAAAGAGGCCCACCTGGCCACCGCACTGGAAAGCAGTTTAGAAGAAATGGAGCACACTTCTGCCCTAAGGTATTTCAGGGGATAAATTCATTCTGTATGAATAATAATTCAGTTGCTGAAATTATTCCGTGACTGTAACTGCATCCTTTCCTGTTCAATAAATTTTGTTAATGAAGACTCAGCGAGCAACTCGTTTAGAAGATGCAGACGCCAAAAGCTGAACCATCATGCTAAGCTGTAATATGGTTGGTTAGCTTTAGCTTAGTGTAATGTGTAAATGTGACCAACAAGGCATGGTTAAAACAAACTAATTCCTGCCAAGGAATCACCCTGAAAACGTGTCTCAAGACACCATCCCACCCATGTCATGGAGTCACTTCTGTCATTGCATTCTCTGCAGACAAAATCCAGATCCCGTTACATCCAGTTCTCTGTAGCCTCCAGTCTTTCGTTCTTTATGCATAAGCAATTTATGAAACTCAGCCCTTGAGGATCGACAGGCTGTTATTGCCTCAGATGGCTCTGAATAAGGATTTGATAATTTCATGGAAGTTCAATCTCTCAAAGGTCTATTAGTTCTGCCAACTAAACAGAACCTCCTGCTCCAGAGGCAGAATATTACATCAGCAGAGAAAGTATTTATTACTAAATATATATAGCATCTTTCTGTTTGTCCCAACATTCAAGGTGGCTTATAACAATAAAAAAATTATAGCATATAAGCCAGCCATGGCGTAGCGCAGTCTGGCTGGGGAATTCTGAGAGTTGAAGTCCACACATCTTAAAGTTCCCAAGGTTGAGAAACACTGGTGTAGTGGTTAGGCATTGGGATGGCATGGGTTGCAGTCCACCCTCAGCCATGGAAACTCCCTAGGTGATTTTGGGTCAGCCCAAGGTATCTCATATTTTTCTTGTGGCCAAAAATAGGAGGATGGAGTGCTATACAGATGGTACCCCCTTGAGTTCCTGAACAAAAGGTGGGATATACGACTTATACATAAGTGTTCCATATGACAGTCTACTTCCAGGGGAACACACCACTTGATGGAAACTAGAATTTCCACTCCTGTTATAGTCCTTCAAAGAAGAATAACACAAAGAGATCTTCACCTCTGTGTCTGCATCGGTGGCTTTGAGCTCAAATTCTGTGATGGTTTTCCTCACACCTTCTTGCACAGTCATACCAACAGTCTGCACAACAGGCAACGAATCATCAATCGGGTTAATAGTGATTTCAAAATTCTGGGTCACCTGTTGGAAGAAAGATTGGGATTATGAACCAAATCATTCTGGTTGGACATTGCCTTTCCACGGACAAACTAATCATTTTTTTGGAAACCAGTAAAAATTCACTGACCTCCTGTATGCCATCCGAAACGGTGAAAGTGAACATGTCAGCATGTTCTTCAGCCTCGTTTGTATGGATGTAGTGGATGCTGTGGGAGATAAGGTCTGCTTGTTGGAAGGAGCTAATCCTTCTGCCTAGAAAACAGTAGCAGAAGCATCCACCAGGTGTTCTAAAATTCCAAGTCTGTCCTCCAGCCCAAAGAATTACCTCCCCCATTCCACTTCAAACTTGCTTTCAGAAACTCCCCATTGCGACACAACACCCTTGGAGTGCTTTCAAATGTCTCTGGTGGACATATTTATCCATTCATTTATTAACACTGTCAGATTTTAAAAGAGAAGCTCCAGGCATCATGACTTCTCTCACTAGATAAATCAACACAATTCCCTTATAATTCCCCATGGATTCAGTAATATGGGAGGTTTTGCTCCAAAACCAGTAACTATTTGCAAACCTGGTAATGCAGCATGCTCCAAGTGTCCCAGCTGGGGCTGTTTAATAATCCTGTATAGGAGATCGCTGGATTCACCACCCTGCTCCTTGGCTGACAACTCAAAGGTGGTGATTTTTTTCACAGAATTTTCATCCAGGGTTAGCCCAGTGTTGACAGTGATGGACAGAGGCAATCGATCCCCTGGGAGCAGTAAATATAAGAGGAGACATATACAGGGTCAGATCCTAGATCCATCTATTGTGTCACATGTGGACAAGTGGAGGGATTTGGGAAGTTCACAAGTCTCAACTGGAGGATCAAACCTATTCTAGTATTCAAGGTTTGCTGCTTATGATTCAGGAAGTACTATGTACAGTACACAACCATTGGTAGCCACTTGCAGACCCCTTTAAAACCATCCAGTTGGCTGCTACTCCTACAACTATTAGCAGTGAATTTCATAGCTTACCTAAGCACTGCATGAAGAAGTATTTCCTTCTGCTGGTACTGAATCTCTCTACATTTAGTTTCAACAAATAGTCTCAAGTCTAACAAAGGAAGGAAAACCTAACCCCCTCCATGTTATCTATGCCGTACATAGTTTTATACCTCATGCCTTTTCTCATTTTCTTTCATTCCAACCCAAAGAGCCCCGATTGATGTAATCATTCCTTATAAGGGAGCCATGCCAGCCCCTTCATCATTTGATTGTCCTTTTTTCATGTTTCCCAGTTCTATAATATCCCTCTTGAAATGCATCAATGAGAACCGTACATCGTGTATAAGTGCAGTCTTGCTATACTTTTGTAACACTGGAGACAACAGGAATAAGACCATTTCCTTTCTTCTCCCTTTCTCCTTGTTGTTTTCTAACTATTTTACTCAGTCATTCTAAACTAGGTTGTCTGTTGCTTGACTGCAGAGATCTTAGTCAACTAATTGTTGGCTCTTCCATCTCTCCACTACTGTCAAGGTTCAGTTGAGGGTGCAAGAGCAATTGTGCAATTACAGAACTTCTGACTTTGGATCCTGAGTTTCATAGGGTCCATGTTCAGATTGCCACTTAACTTCACCAACAACATTACATTTCTCTATTACCTCCTCTCAAGGCATCTATTCCACAGTTTCAACTATTCCACTAAGCTGACAGTTGAAGGAGAGAGGGGCATTTAAGGAGACATCACTACCAAAAACCCTCCCTAAGCAAACAAACATTTATCAAACCTGGTTTATTTTAAGTACTCTTGAGTGTGTCCAGTGTTGGATTTTTAAATCAATGCCAATTACAGGACAGTCATGACCACAGGAATAAAACAGAGTTTCTCTCTGCTGCTACAGTGCTAAAATGCTTTACTTTACAAGCACAATTTAAAGATACTTTTTAAGGTGAAAATAATTATGTAATTGTGTACCAATGCTTGTATTAAAAGCATTTTTCAAAAATAATTGGGGAACATTTTTAGCTAGAAAAGTGATCTTTAGATGACTAATTTAACCAGTTAATTCAGTTCTAATTTTCAAGTAACACAGTTTAGTTAACATAGTGATCAATTTTCAGGAAAGCCAGAACAGGGTAGATTTCTGTTTACTCCTGATTTAATATCTCAGAGGAAATTCCCCCAGGATATAAAACTAATCTGTGGAATTCTGTGACAAATTATATAGCGATATACAAATGATTGTTCTTTGGAACATCCATCAGTATTAAGCAGAATGCAGAAGGTAAGATGCTGAGATTCTGTGTTAACTTCAAAGCCTCTATCATCCAAATCATAATGATGTGCAGCCCCTTTATGGTGGTCTTCATAACTGAGTCTAACCATCATACTTGGTGGCCGAAGTCTTTTCCAGAATTTCCTCAATTCTAGTTAATAAAAGCCACCCTCCGTCTTGAGAAAGAAAGCAAAGCTGTGACAAGATTGTTGCCTTACCTGTTATGTTAACTGAAAATTCCAAGTCTACCATTTTGTTTCCCTCTCCATCTGCCACATCAAAAACAAAAACAAATGTCCCAACAGGTTCTCCTTTCTCATGGCTGTATTCCACCTGTCCTGTAGTAGGAAGTCAGAAGGAAAGAACAGAAGGAGAACTTAGAACATCTGCAACCTATCTTGCATTATTGTGTTTTTCTGAAGTCTGTAACCAAGTTCTCTGTGAGATGATAAACCCATACACAGACGCTGGCTTTGATGCTCTATGCTGCTCAGCTGGGCTCTTCTCTTGACTCTGTCCTTCAGGAATGAATCCTGCCCAAATTTCTATTAGCTCTTTTACACACTCCTATTTTGCAGATAACTCAGCATATTCCTCTTTTGTCCCATGGCCTGTTGTCATCAATTGCCAAATACCACAGAAATGACCAACAAACAGGGAACATCTGAGCTAAAACATGAATTCCACCAGTTCTGAGATCCCTGCTTGTCTCTGTGCACAGAGATGGGAAGATAATCACAACAAATTTTTGGTACGTCATGAATATTCCTGAAAAGAAACTTATCCTGCACCTTTGAGGGGTTGAAAGCCTTCATTAGCCACCTTGGATTTTTAAAAAGGTAACCCCTTATTTGCATGCAAGTTACTGTAAATAACTCCTACAACTTCTCCGTTTTCTTCTCCTCTCTGCAAGTCAGGCCCAAAAAAAAAAAAAATCACAACCCAATACATGTTTTTGAAGCAGCAAAGAATTTCATGAAAGTGGAGTACTTTTTAGTCACCACTTTGTGGTTCCCTCAAGTATTACAGAAGTCAGTCCTTTTTAAAACAGACCGTGTCAAGTTTGTGCCCAAGATAAATCCAAAAAATTGAAAAAAACCTGTAACCCCTTGCTATCCCACCTCAGAGATCAATGTCAGAATTTTACCTATTAGAATGGACAGCACCCACCTTTGTTTATATCAGCCTGTGTGAAGCTTTTTACTGGTCCCTGGACGGAGATCTGCATCAAAGAATCTCTTTTATGCAGGCGCAACACTCCAACGGTTGGGTCCTTTTTCATGATGTATTTGATGGACAAGTCATCTGAGTCAGCATCTGTGGCTCTTAAATGCTGGTTCGTAATCACTGCCACAGACCCTAAAGATGGACAAAAACAAAATTAATGTTTTTGTTTAGTTATTCTGGGAATAATAGTTTATTTATTGGTTTATTTGGTGCCTTCGAGTCAGTGTTGACTCCTGGCGATTGCCTGGACTGGGCCTTGCAGATTTTGGAAGTGGTTTGCCCTTGCCACCTTCTTCCTAGGACTGAAAGAGTGAAAGCCAATTGGTTGAAGTTCTCTACACTCCGTTATTAGCTAGTTTCAATTATTTAGCTGAGTATGTTCTCTGGGAGCCCCCAGCCAACTTGCATACAAACAATACCGCACTGAATGCATCTGAGATTTCTAGATGGTGGGAACAATATAGAGTAATATGGGTGGGCTTCCAAGTGTGTTGACTAGCAAATGGAAAAGCTGAGGGTGTATGTGACATCATGACAGCAGGAAGTTTAGCTATTCAGGAATTTTAATAAGGGGACTTCAGAAAAGCATAATCAGAGGTCACTTCTTTATTTTATACCAGCAGAGAGTTGCAGGCCTCTGTTCACGACTAATGTGGGGAGGTCCATCCTTGGCGAGGCTACGGCAAACTCCACTTTCCCTGTCTGTATGTGGAGGCCATCCGAGAGTGAAAACTGGAACTCATCGGTTTGGGCTAGCAAACTGTTCAATCTATAAATGATCAGTTCATCCAGGACATCCTGGTAGGTGAAAGTCGATCCCTCAGAGAGAGCTTGTCCATTCTCCAGGGACTGCAGATGAGATTCTCTCTTGTACAGATATCCTGAGAATAAGTAGAGAATTTGGATTAGTTCCTCACAGACCACTTCCTCCCTATTGCCTCAATGTCTTAATTCTATTCCTAATAATAGATACTTACTCTTCACAGTATCTTTTATGAAAGGGTTATATAACCCTTTACCACAAAATAAAGACAATGGCAATATAAGAATCCACACACATCTTTTAATCCATACTATATAAAAACCCCAAATAGAAGATTTTTCAATAGCATATGTTATCAAGTGGGTCAAGCTAGTTTTTATCAGCAATGGCCTTCACGTATCATGCTAAACCGTGATGTGGGTTCCTATTGATCTCTGCTTATTACTTTGTTTCTTGTATTCTAAAGCCTAATAAAATGAAAAAATGAAATGATGACCAGTATCCTATCTTACAAAAGGATGACATCAATTCATAGAGCATGATTTTCCAGGAGTGATTATTCCAAAACAGAACCTCTATCTTAAAAAGGAGCCTACTTCTGTCACCTGACGCGACAGGAAGACGAACTCCACCTTCTTCCAAACACCTTGGCAGCTTCTTGGAAGAAGCAAGATGGCTTGTCTCTGAGCATTGTGAAAGGGCCTTGGTCTGACTCAGGAAAGTAATTCTAATTTATACACTGTGACAAAACTGCAGGTCTCAACTGAACTGCTGAGATTTGCTACAAACGTGAGCCACAGCTTCTTCTGAAAGTTCCATGCAAGTTGTTTACTTAATTTGGCAAATAAAATTAAGGAGATGGCCGACTAAGCCATGGTTTGAGAAGGGTGCTTGCAGCCAAGAGCTGCTTCTAGCAGTGAGCATACTGAAAAATAACTCTGATGCATTTCATCAGCATTACATAAAATAATATGTCTCACCATGAATGGGTGCCTTGGTTACCACGAAAACCAGAAGATCATCAGGAGTGTCTAAGTCCCTTAGCCTCAAGGAGGAATTTCGGATCACGACTCCTGTGCTTTCCTGCACACTGATGGCTGCCAGTTGCAACTGAGGTGGCTCATCATTCAGGCGCTACAGAGCAGAAGGAAAACCACGAGAGAAAAATGCCTTTCAACAAGTTTCCTTGAAAAGGAAGAGGAAAGGCCACTAGAAGCTACAAATGCTGGAAATAGGTTGTGGAAGTATAACAGAGCCAACACTGTACATTTGAATGGAAATCTAATTGGAAGCATGTAAAGCATCAAGGTATTTCACAAAATAAACCAGCAACCTGAATTCGTGTTTTTCTGGTATTGTGTATTTGCATTAAAGTGTGCAAGAACTACCACTGCTATTGGATAATGTGTTTGTGTGCATGTATAAGTGTGTGTGTATACCCGTTTGTGTGGTATATATACACACAGAGATGGAGAAAGAGAGAGACTTGATTCACATCGAGCCATGATGTGATTTGTTGAGTTTAACTTACTGACTTGTAACCTTGACAATTATCAGCATCAATAACAAACATGGTTTGTGTTTTAGATGAGGTGTGAATGGAGTCAGTTTTGGCTTACTCAACAAACCATGTTTAAACAAACCATAGATTAACACTTTGTCCAAACCCAGACACTAACTCTGCTATCACAATGGTTTGCAAATGAAAACCCCAAGCTGAATTCATTTACCTTAATAGTGATGTTGACACTGCTGGTTTCTGATTGGCTGAAGCCATCACTGACATAAAAGCTAAAGGTGTCCATTGATGGTTCAATGCTTTCATGGACGCTCTGAAAGTAATAAATACGGTTCTCCACCACATCTTGAAGGGAGAAGGAAAAATCGGAGCTTGCAGAGTTTCCAAAACCAAGGCGCCTACCTGCAAGGAAAGTGATGCCATATGAAAGGTTGTTTTTTTAAAAAATTATTTTGCTTTTTCCTTAAGCAAAAACAGTAACTTGATTCTTTGTCAAGTTTTTGCATATATAGCAAACAGCACTCCATAGCAAATTATTCTGTGGTTTAATTATGCACAGCAAAAAGAAGAGCTTCTTAGATATTAGAAAAAACCTTTCAGGCTAATCATAATATAAAGCAGATTTACATCAAGGGTCATCAATACAGTACCCAGGAGTATCATTAAGATGGCGAATTGCATCACAGGTATGGCCCGAATCTTACAAGACAGCCCATACTTCAAGGTTTCTGTGTTCGTACATGAGATCTCCCATGTTTCATCCATTTTTTTAAAATTAAAATTTAGTTTAATTTAGTTTAAAATTTTGAAATTCATTTGCTTATTTTAATTTTCTGGTTCCTGCCACATCACACAAAACCATGATGATGATTACCACCTGAAATGGCTGCTAATGCCTGCCTTATAAGAATGAAACCAAGTAATTCCTGAGCATGCGTACATGTCCTCCAGTGCATAGAGAAGGAAATCAGAAGCTTCTTTTTCTGTTGGAGATTAACCACAGTTTATCTGCTCACCCAATCCCTAAACAGTGATCAGTTTTTACTATGGTCAGTAAAAAAAAAAAAAAAAACAGCTTAAAATTGTCCTGTTTCTGCTAACTGTAATTAAGATTAACCACAGGTTCAAGCCATGGGTTGGAATGTGGTTAATCTAAAAAGGATTCAGAAATTTAGGAACAACTGGGTGGGGGTGAATGGGCAGGAAGGTGCATGAAGTCCCAAGCCAGGCTGCCACCCTGTAGATATTAATTGGAAGGAGGCAACGCCAGAACCACAGGTCATGCAGAGATACAAGAGGCAGCCTCCTCTGCCAATATCTACAGTGGAACCTCGGTTCACGAACTTAATTCGTTCCGCGACTCTAGTCGCGACCCCAATTGGTCGTGACCCGAAGCAAATTTTCCCATAAGGTTCAATGTAATTACCGTTAATCCGTTCTGGCGTGGAGGACAGGGAGGCGGC